GCCCACATCTGGGAAGACCTCTCCCAAGGACAAAGCCTTCCTGCCCCCTGCGGGCCTGGTTCCTCACTCTCGCTACTGCACAGGATACCTTCTTCTTCTTCTATGAGGATGCAAACACATTTTCAAACTGTTTGGCAGCCCTTCTGCTTCACTTTATCTCTCTGAAATGAAAAATTGGGGGAGAAGAGAAATTGTGTGTAATGTAGGTAGCTCTAGTAGCCAAAGGTCTGCTTTTCTCCCAACAACTTCTGACATTGCCAGTCTTTCGGAAAGTCAACCACTATTGTGGACTACTGGACCATATTGGAATGTTTTGCTGAATTCATGCATCTATAATATTTAAATGACAATGGAATACCTTTCTCTGACAAAACTAAACAAAAAAGGGGATACAAATGAACAGCCATTTGTTTCTGTATATTCAAAACAGGATAGATATACAGCTACATTCTCTTAATTTGATGAATAGAAAGATTTGTTCTAATTGTTTTTGTGGACAGACTATCATGCCTGCATCTTCTACAATGAATAACCACTAAGACATCAATATGCAATGTATTAATTATTGAAACTGTCCTACTAATCGGTTTTGAAACTGTCTCATTGCTATTCGTTTCTCAATAAAATTATTTTTTAAAAAAGAAAACTGACAGTAGACATTTTGCTAAAGATGACATTATAGTATGTTGTATAATATTGAGAAAACATATCAATCTTTAAAAAAAAATTTTTCTCGCCACTGTGGGGAAATAGAAGGAGAGGGAATTATAGCTCAATGTTTGTAAATAGCTTACATTGACTGCCCAGCCATCTCTACTTCCATCCTACAGGTCATTTTATTCTTCCTCCCTGCTCCCTGTTAGAGACTTACACCATAGAGACAAGAGATAGGGAGGGCTGTCCTTGACTCACAGGAGGTTGGAAAGCACTTGCGATTTCTTATTGTCACCGGGAGAGTGGCTCTGTGCCATCACTCATGGGAGTGTGCTGCAGGCCAGGGCATCCCCTCCACCTTGGCCCTGTGCACTGCCAGCCCTGTGCACTCTCCACCCACTGTCTTTTTTTGTTTTGTTTTGTTTTGTTTATTTTGTTTTTACATCAGTTATTTTATTTTAAAGAAAAAAAAATAAAACCAATGGTACAAAATCTCAAAACAAGATTTTAGGAGA